GTGGAGAAGCCTCACGTCAGGGTTGCCTCAAGCTCAGGATCCTGAGGGCAGGGCAGAGGAGACAAACAGGGAGGACAGGAGGACTGGGCCATCAGTCCCCTCTCACACCTCCTCCGCAGCTTTTCCTCCCCTGGGAGCCCGCAGGGAGCTGCGCTGCCTGTGGAGCTGGATCAGGGGCACCTCACCTGGAAAGCATTGTTCAGCCACAGCACGGAGCAGGAGGTTATGCGCCCAATCCGATGCAGATTGCCAGAGATCAGGTTGGTTTCGTTCAGCCAGCAGCCGAACACGTCGTAGGGTTTGTTCCTCACCCTGGAAAGCAGCGTGAAGTTCTCTGGAAGGGAGAGGAAACACGAGCGTGAGGGGCTGGCTCCCAGCAAGGGCCCTGGGAAACCGTCACAGAAGACAGGGGTTCAAGTCTTGCAAGGAGAGGCACGCACTGGTGCAGCACCTCCACCGCGAGCCGAGCGGACACAGCCCAACCACCACCCAGCTGCCAGTCCCTGCTCTGAAGAGAGATTATCTCGCTTTGACAGAGATGTGCTGGGGGGAGCACGCACGAGGGAAACCGAAAGAGAAGGGCAGCCAGATGGAGCCGGAGCAGAGAGCAACCCAACCTCTCAGCCTTTCCGAGTGGGCCCAAAGCAGACGCCCCGAGGGCAAGAGCAAGTCAAACCCGTACAGAACTCCTGCACTCCCGCCCCTGGGGCTCAGGGCCCTTCCGAGCAGGACGGCCGTGCCTTTAGCACCCTTCCTCGATTCTTGGCACAGTGAGCCTGGAGCACAGCGCCGGCAGCTGGGACTGGCGACTTTCACAGGCCTGCAGCACAAGAGGGGAATGCGCCTCAAAGCCACCTGAGACCTCAGGGCAGGACCACCACCACCAGTCACAAATGGTGGCTCCCAGACAACGTGGATAACTCTTGCCTTGCCCCAGCTGTCACTAAGAACGGAAGTTATGCCAGAATAAATATATGGCACACTGCCTTTGGGTGATGGGGTGGTGACCTGAGCAGAGTTCAGGCTGTCCGGAAGGTTTGTCCCACAAAGCTGCACCTGGGCCCCCTTTACACAGGGGGTGGAAGGTAGGACAAGCCGAGGTCAGGGCCACCGCGCACCCGAAGAGGAAGGGAAGCTCAGCACCCCCCATTTCACACCTCCCAGGAGCCCCAGCAAAGGCGAGAGCAGCAGGTACCCATGCTGATGACGGCGATCTCTCCTGACGAGGAGTTGTGAGGCCCCACAAAGACGCCCGACACCAGAAGGAGGGAGTCATCGGAGTTGAACTGGGAGAACTGCGTGTAGCTCCAGTTGTACGGCCTCATGTTGGAGCTGTGCTGCAGGGAGATGTCCAGCTCGTTGCTCCAGATCTACAGACAGATGCCAAACAGTCAGGAAGCTGCTGAGAAGCCTGGAGACGGTTCCACCTTATCTGTTCTGTCAGCGCTCACCAGGACAAGAAAACAAAACATCAAAGACTATTTAACTGCCTCCTGGTCCCCATTTCCCCATCAGTTCCCCTGACAGAACACGGCCAACAGCTTCAGAGAGCGGCTAAACGCAGGACTCCTTCTCCATCGGCCAGTGGAGGTGTTCAGGCAGTGAACCTGGACTTCTCAGCAGGTTCCTCCCAAGACAACCACTCATGCAAGACATCTCCTGCAGCGGATCGTTACCTCCACACTCTTTGTTAGAGCCACGGCACAACAGGAGACCGATTTGCACCCGGGAAGCAGCCAGGGAGGCACCTTGGCCACCTTCACAGGGGCTGGAGCTGGAACCCCCAGCCCTCGAGGCTACATTTGCCAGAGTCATTAGTTCCATGGCTTGGAGAACAACTCAGCATCTGCAGGAACTGGCCTGGGGTTCCAGGGACACCTGGTCAAACCTCTTCTCCCCACAGGCTGCTCTCGGGGCTAAGCCCCCCTCGCCCCCTCCCCGAGCTGGCAGGGCGGGCCTCCCCGTTACCTTGACGGTGCAGTCCTTGGAGCAGGACGCAAACAGGCAGCCGGAGTGGGAGAAGCTGAGGTGCAAAACCTGGTCATTGTGCTCCTTCAGGGCCTGCACCTCCACGCAGGGGATGGTGTCGTAGAGCCGCTGGAACTCCTCGTACCAGGAGACGGCAGGTG